CAATTATTGCACCAGTATTGCAACACAGCGACAGCCAAAGTGTTTAGGGATGATATTCTGTTTTGTGAATTCAACTCGGTATTTTATTATTATTATTGCTGTTGTTGAAAATATTTTAGCCTGTATTTTTTTCAAGAACCGCTTTAACCAGTGATCTAGGCAAAGCGAAGGATGTGGTTTTTTTTTGTTTGCACGTAATTAAACAAAAGATAGATATTAACAAAAACATTTTTTTTAAAAAATCGTCAAAGATCTCTGTTGGACATAGGCTATGACTGTTAGAACTGTTCTGGGGAATTTTCTGGAGAAATGGCGCACTAGGGACACAGTTGATTTGCTCTAGGGTTCCTGTCTTTCTCAGAGTCAAAACTCAACCTCAACAGAATATTTTTAATTTTGAAGAGCCATATTTCTCTATCTCCATCTTCATTTTTTTTTTTTTTTTTTTTGCTGCATTAATTTAGTTTTTCCAAAACCTTCACAGAGGTGTTTTGTCATTAGGTGAGCTCATGTCAATCAGTGTTCAAACATTTTCTTTGTCTTTGCCTCGGGGATTTGCTTGATTTGCTTGATTGATAGAAAAAAAAATCCCAGAGGATGGTCACATCTGCAATGTTGATTACAGATTCAGGATGATTTTCATACCAGTTTACAACTATTTTCATCGCATCGCGATAATAGATCTTCCAATACACATATTAAGCTACCCTCTCATGACAGTTTTTGCACCCAATCTGGAAATAAATTGAACAATAGTTTCAATATATTGGTAACAGAACATACATTTTAGATCCGCACCATTAAACGAATTGGTTTGGTAGTTGTGAGTAAGCAGGCTCCGGTCTTGTAGAGCAAGATACGCTTCTGTCTGACACTTAAATACTGGACTGGTGTGTTGCAAATTGGTCTACATGATCATTTTTTGCTTCGAAGAAGGAACTGGCTATGCAGAGGCTTTTTGCTCCGGTTAGGGCTGTTTTTCTCTTGTTATTTTTATGTTGAATACACGTTTTCTTTCAGGGTCCCAACCCGAGACCTAAGGGCAGAAATGGCTTCATGAACTTTTCCACTAATCATATTTGAAGAAAGAAAAACCTAAGTTTAGACCTATTTTAGATAGATAAAACTCTTTGTAATACGTGAGCAGTAGTTCTTAGTACATTTTCTTTTGTTTTTCATTAATGCATGGGCTACCAATAATCTCTTCAATGAGTATATCGAACCTTTTCCAATCAACCTTTTTCAAACTACAACTGGAATTATGGATGTCCTCATGTGACACATGTTTGAGATTTCCACTTCGCGATCCATGTATTTTGATAGTTTTTTTAAGATCTTCACAGATACATTACAATCTGTAGAATCTGCCATGTCAATAAGAAATCCCATTCTGTTTTTTGTCTTTGATCTGGATGTCTAGACGATTTTTTTAAGCATTTCACACCAAGCCCGTCGGGAGTGATACTAGTACGCAAGGGGTTACAGAGGATGAAATTAAGCGTAACGATTGGATATAGGAGAATTGAGGAAAGGATACAAAGAAGAACGGGGACCAAGGCATTAGATGATGTCGATTGACATTACACTTAATTTTCTGAAGATTATAGTTATCAGGGAAACAAGTAATGGGATGGAAATGCACAGACGTGAACTGCGAGACAAGAAGCTGTTGGATTAGAAGAGGCAGTTACATTTAACTGTTTCGACAGTAAAAGGAATGGACCGAGATGCCAATCTAGTAGCACTCTTAAATTCTTGCTGTCTGGATAGAATAGAAAATAGATCGTCAGAACAGATGCAATGAAAATATTTATAGAAAAGACAAAGGGAAATTTCATTACGCCGGTGATTAGCTTTCATTGTACTGCTTGTGTTTATTGTAATGGCTTTCTGTCTGTGTGTATTGTAAAATTATTATTATTATTATTATTATTATTATTATTTAGTGAAAACCACTGTTTAGAGGACACTGTGCCCAAGGTTCAACTGTCCCCTTTTTAAGAACAGCACCTCCACTTCACTCATATTATTCATTTGAAAGCTTCGTATCTGAACAAAATTTATGTATACTGAG